GTAGGGTACGGGTGTAGGGTACGGGTATCGGGTAGGGTACGGGTATCGGGTAGGGTACGGGTATCGGGTAGGGTACGGGTATCGGGTAGGGTACGGGTATCGGGTAGGGTACGGGTATCGAGTAGGGTACGGGTATCGGGTAGGGTACGTGTATCGGGTACGGGTATCAGGTAGGGTACGGGTATCGGGTAGGGTACGGGTGTAGGGTACGGGTATCGGGTAGGGTACGGGTATCGGGTAGGGTACGGGTATCGGGTAGGGTACGGGTATCGGGTAGGGTACGGGTATCGGGTACCCGGTTGTGACCGCTGACCCACGTTCCATTCCCGCTCAAGACCACCAACACCATCGGTGACGGTTGACCGAACCGGTCCTGGGTCTACCCTAGGTCGACTCAGCCTCAAATGAGTATCTGGTGCTGTGTGTAGTAAACATCGCCACTGGGGAGACAAAGGCGGTAGGGCGTGGTGCTGGCCACCCACCCCCTCGTGTGCCACTGTGCCGGTAGCCTTCATAAGCAGAGCTCGCTACTGACAGCACTTGCCCCTACAGTCTGTGTAGGCTATACGGGGGATGTTTGTCTTTGTGATGCTAGCCACCCACCCCCTCGTGTGCCATTGTGCCAGCCTTCATAAGCAGTGCTCGCTACTAACAGCACTTGCCCCTACAGTCTGTCAAGGCTATACGGGGGATGTTTGTCTTTGTGATGCTGGCCACCCACCCCCTCGTGTGCCACTGTGCCAGCCTGCATAAGCAGTGCTCGCTATTAACAGCACTTGCCCCTACAGTCTGTGTAGGCTATACGGGGGCTGTTTATCTTTGTGATGCTAGCCACCCACCCCCTCGTGTGCCACTGTGCCGGTAGCCTTCATAAGCAGTGCTCGCTACTGACAGCACTTGCCCCTACAGTCTGTGTAGGCTATACGGGGGATGTTTATCTTTGTGGTGCTGGCCCACCCTTCATAAGCAGTGCTCGCTACTAACAGCACTTGCCCCTACAGTCTGTGTAGGCTATACGGGGGATGTTTATCTTTGTGGTGCTGGCCCACCCTTCATAAGCAGTGCTCGCTACTGACAGCACTTGCCCCTACAGTCTGTCAAGGCTATACGGGGGATGTTTGTCTTTGTGATGCTGGCCACCCACCCACCCACCCCCTCGTGTGCCACAGTGCCGGTAGCCTTCGTAAGTGGTGCTGCTGCTACTCGCTACTGACAGCACTTGCCCCTACAGTCTGTGTAGGCTATACGGGGGATGTTTGTCTTTGTGATGCTCGCCACCCACCCCCTCGTGTGCCATTGTGCCGGTAGCCTTCATAAGCAGTGCTCGCTACTAACAGCACTTGCCCCTACAGTCTGTCAAGGCTATACGGGGGATGTTTGTCTTTGTGATGCTCGCCACCCACCCCCTCGTGTGCCATTGTGCCGGTAGCCTTCATAAGCAGTGCTCGCTACTAACAGCACTTGCCCCTACAGTCTGTCAAGGCTATACGGGGGGGCGATCTTTGTTTTCGACGGCGGTGGGAATCCCAGCGTAGGCCCCGATGTGCAGGATGAAATGATCGGCAAGCATCATCATCATCCTCATCATCATCATCCTCAGCAGCAGCAGCCATCGCTCGCCAGTTCGACAGTGATGCTGTCGCCGCTTCTGATTTGTCGCAACAAAGAAGCCGTCGTACGGGTGCGGCTGTGATGCTGATGCTGCTGATGCTGCTCCTGCTGCTGCTGCTCCTGCTGCTGCTGCTACTGCTTCTACTACTCCTGCTGCTGTTGCCGCTGCTGCTGCTGCTACTGCTGCTACCACTGCTACTGCTGCTCCTGCTGCTGTTGCTGCTGCTGATGATGATGCTGATGATGATGCTGCTGTTGCTGCTGATGATGATGCTGCTGCTGCTCCTGCTGCTGTTGCCGCTGCTGCTGCTACTGCTGCTACCACTGCTACTGCTGCTCCTGCTGCTGTTGTTGCTGCTGTTGCTGTTGTTGCTCCTGCTGTTGCTGCTCCTGCTGCTGCTGCTGCTGATGATGCTGCTGATGATGCTGCTCCTGCTGCTACTGCTGCTCCTGCTGCTGATGTTGCTGTTGTTGCTGCTGTTCCTCCTGCTGCTGCTGCTCCTGCTGCTAATCATCCTGCTGCTGCTCCTGCTGCTGCTGCTGCTGCTGTTCCTCCTGCTGCTGCTCCTGTTGCTGCTACTGTAGTGTTTGGTAGCGTATTGTGTAGTTTATACTGGTAGGAACCTCCTGGTTACGCTAGCCCACAGGGGATTATTGTGTCCGTCCGTCCGTCGTGCATCCAAAAACGGGAGGGGTGGGGCTGGGTTGAGAGGGGAGGGTGGGGAGGGGCTGGGTGGGGAGGGTAGGGCTGGGGCTGGGTGGGGAGGGGAGGGTGGGGTGGGGCTGGGTGGGTGGTGGCAGGGGTGGGGGTGGGTGGGCAGGGGCTGGGTGGGGAGGGTGGGGCTGGGGAGGGTGGGTTGGGGCTGGGTGGGGAGGGGCTGGTCACCCCGTGGTGCCCTTATAAAACTCAACGTTTAACCTACTCACGCCGGCTTGTGCCCGCCCTCACAGTCGGGCATATTTGCGGAATACACCACGCGCCGTTGACCCTGCAGGCCATTGACCGAGCAACCCGACGTTCCTACCAGCTCCCTCCGCAGGAATGTGTTTGTAGTGTAGTGCCTTCATAGAGCCCCAATGTGTTCGCTTACTGACCATTCTTGCCCTGCTATCGATGGGCTGTTGTTGGCACAGCAAATATTAATTTTGGAGCTTTCGTGACTGCAGGAATGATTCTTTGGTTCTTTCGGTAAAGTGACGTATAGAGATAAAATAATAAATTAAATACTAGCACACGACGTTTCGATTGCAACACAAGCAATCATCGTCAGGTGTAATGAAATAGCGACATAGAATCTAACCAGGAAACTATAGACAGACATATAAGCAGACAGATATCACCAAGATACACAGAGAGAGAGTAACACAGGTACAGAGAGAGAGAGATCGTCTTTGTGGGGTGGCCTAAAATATTTAATATTTACTCTCTCTCTGTGTATCTTGGTGATATCTGTCTGCTTATATGTCTGTCTATAGTTTCCTGGTTAGATTTTGTGTCGCTATTTCATTACACCTGACGATGATTGCTTGTGTTGCAATCGAAACGTCGTATGCTCGTATTTAATTTATTATTTATCTTCATACGTGACTTTACCGAAAGAACCAAAGGACAGCAAATATTAATTAATGCGTCTATTAACCGCGTTGCTGAATCTATGTTGTGTTAATTCTAGATTTGAAGCTTTCGTGACTGCAAGGATTCATATTCTTAGGTTTTTTCGGTAAAGTCACGTAGGTAAAACATCAGAATTAATAAAAATAAAATAAAGATCACGACGTTTCGGAGGCAACACAAGTGTCCGTCATCAGGAGGGACCGTCACAGCCAGATTAGCTGCATCAAGTGAGGCAAGGGATTACATCTTGAATCATTGCCTCACTTGATGCAGCTAATCTGGCTGTGACGGTCCCACCTGATGACGGACACTTGTGTTGCCTCCGAAACGTCGTGATCTTTATTTTATTTTTATTAATTTTGATGTTTTACCTACGTGACTTTACCGAAAAAACCTAAGAATATAACTATGTTGTGTTTATGATGTCGTCGGCATCTTTACGTATTGTAGAAATGTTTAAAGCGAACAATATCCATCATGTACCAAAATATACTAATAGGGTTTTTCCCCTTTTTTTCCGCCTTTTGGCGTCATCTGGTCGAACACCATATGAGACTAGGCTCTAAAGAAAGCTGTCTCTGGTGTGGACCAATCAGTTTCAAAGACAATGCATACATTATCAGAGTTTTGTTTTTTGTTTGCATTTGACTGCAAGTATTGTGGTTAATGTAAGCGTGATTTCTAGCTAAAGGTGTCAGTTTTGTTGCCAGAAAAAAGGGGAAAAAACCCCTATTAGTATATTTTGGTACTGGCAAAGGAGGTCCCATAATGTAGCGGTACACCCAGAGCTCTCATTACTCTGGTAGTTGCGTTGTCTTTGAACTGTGCGCCTTTTGGCGTCATCTTGTCGAACACCATACGAGAACTAGGCTCTAAAGAAAGCTGTCTCTGGTGTGGACCAATCAGTTTCAAAGATAATCCTGCATAATGCATGGGCATAATATGACTTTGAAAACCCCCCGCCCACCTCCCACGCATTTCACAATTAACACTATTCACATTCCTGCATTTCCCTTAAATATGCTAAATTCCTCTTCATATGCAAATTCTTTTGTCAAGGCGCTCCCAGCTTAAATAGACGCTCCAAGCCTAGGACGTGTCATTCAGACTCTGTCTTATCGACAGACATGTTCTTCACCTGAGGACGGCTGCTTGCGTTGTGGCCGAAACGTCGTGAGAATTGTTTTATTATGTTTTATTTTCATTATTTTATTACTTCCCTACTACGTGACTTTACCGAAAGAACCGAGAAGATGAATCTCTGCAGTCACGAAAGCTTTAAATCGAAATTTAATGCATAAATTATCAGAGTATTGTTTTTTGTTTGCATCTGACTGCAAGTATTGTGGTTAATGTGAGCATGATTCCTTGCAAAAGGTGTCAGTTTTTTTTCTTCTTGGTTCTTTCGGTAAAGTCATCACGTAGAAGGGAAGTAATAAAATAATAAAAATAAAACATAATAAAATTATTCTCACGACGTTTCGGCCACAACGCAAGCAGCCGTCCTCAGGTGAAAACCAGGTCCGTCGAGGCGACAGAGTCTGAATGGTGTCCGTTTTGTTGCCAGAAAAAAGGGGCAAACACCCTATCGGGAACAACATCCCGTTGTTTAAACGTCATCGTGAAATCGAGCCTTCAACGCGCTCTCCCCCACGCTCGCTTGACGACCCAAATCGCTTGACGGCCTATTCGCGGAACCGATCGCCGCCGTTTCGAGGAGTGAGATATCGCTGTATCTTGACATCCCCCGGGCCTGCCTCTCGACCCTTTCCAGGGGGGGCCATGTCGGAGTCGCTGGCGCAAGACAACGGCTGGGGTGGGGGGCCGCCGGCGGGGGGCGCAGGGGAGGGGGGCCCGGCCGTCGTGCCCCCCGAACGCTACGATGCCAACCGGGCCAAGACAGCCGCCAGCCTCGCCTGGCTCCTCGGCAAGGCGTACGGCGCAGGTGAGCCGGGGCATCGCCGGCGGCAACGGCCGTCGCCGTTAGCAACCGCACCACGTCGACGCTCCGGTCGCCACGGCCGTAGTTGCCGCGGCGACGATGTCGTCGCCGCGGCGGTACCCGTCGCACGCGCCCGTCGCCGCGAGCAACCGCACCATGCGCCTTTTGGCGTCATCTGGTCCAACACCACGTGAGACTAGGCTCTAGGGAAAGCGGTCTCGGGTGTGGACCAATCAACTTCAAGGACAGTGCATACATTATCAGAGTTGTGTTTTTTTGTTTGCATTATGGCTGCAGGTATTGTGGTCTATGCAAACATGACTCCTTGTAAAAAAAGGTGTCAGTTTTGTTGCCAGATAGAAGGGTAAAAAAACAATTATCATATTTTTACTGGCAAAGGAGGTTCCAATGGTGTAAATGCTTTACCCCGAGCTCTCATACTCTGATGGTGCATTGTCTTTGAGTTGTGTGCCTTTTGGCGTCATCTGGTCCAACACCATGTGAGACTAGGCTCTAAGGGAAAGCTGTCTCGGGTGTGGACCAATCAACTTCAAGGACAGTGCATACATTATCAGAGTTGTGTTTTTTTGTTTGCATTATGGCTGCAGGTATTGTGGTCTATGCAAACATGACTCCTTGTAAAAAAAGGTGTCAGTTTTGTTGCCAGATAGAAGGGTAAAAAAACAATTATCATTGGAACCTCATTTGCCAGAAGAAAAAAATATGATAATTGTTTTTTTACCCTTTTATCTGGCAACAACACTGACACATTTTTTTTACAGATAAAAGGGTAAAAAACCATTTATCATATTTTTACTGGCAAATGAGGTTCCAATGGTGTAAATGCTTATCCCCGAGCTCTCATACTCTGATGGTGCGTTGCTTTTGAGTTGTGCGCCTTTTGGCGTCATCTGGTCCAACACCATGTGAGACTAGGCTCTAAAGGAAAGCTGTCTCGGGTGTGGACCAATCATCTTCAAGGACAGTGCATACATTATCAGAGTTGTGTTTTTATTTTTTTATTTATTGTTTGCATTATGACTGCAGATATTGTGGTCTATGCAAAGCTGACTCCTTGTAAGTTTTGTTGCCAGATAGAAGGGTTAAAAAACAATTATCAACCGCACCACGTTGACGCTCCGGTCGCCACGGCCGTGGTTACCACGGCGACACCATCGCCGCCGCGGTACCCGTCGCCGCGCCCGTCGCCGCGAGCAACCGTTGTCCGTCCCCCCCCCCCCCGTTCTCCGCAGACCACGTGCCGGAGCACTTGCGTGACCCCTTCTACACGGACCAGTACGAGCAGGAGCACATCAAGCCTCCCGTGACGCGCCTGCTACTCACCGGGGAGCTCTACTCTCAGGTGTGTGCGGCGCTTCTTTTAGCTTGGTGTCATCTGCCCCCCCCCCCGCACCTCCGATTTGCATGGATGGCTACTTACGCACGGTGCGAAAGAAGGTCGCACAGTACGTACACACGTGCATAGACTCACACAGAGCCCCAGAGATTCACACAGTACGTACACACGTGCACAGACTCGCACAGAGCCTCAGAGATTCACACAGTACGTACACACGTGCACAGACTCGCACAGAGCCTCAGAGATTCACACAGTACGTACACACGTGCACAGACTCGCACAGAGCCTCAGAGATTCACACAGTACGTACACACGTGCACAGACTCGCACAGAGCCTCAGAGATTCACACAGTACGTACACACGTGCACAGACTCGCACAGAGCCCCAGAGAATCACACAGTACGTACACACGTGCACAGACTCGCACAGAGCCCCAGAGATTCACACAGTACGTACACACGTGCATAGACTAGCACAGAGCCCCAGAGATTCACACAGTACGTACACATGTGCACAGACTCGCACAGAGCCCCAGAGATTCACACAGTACGTACACACGTGCACAGACTCGCACAGAGCCCCAGAGATTCACACAGTACGTACACACGTGCACAGACTCGCACAGAGCCCCAGAGAATCACACAGTACGTACACACGTGCACAGACTCGCACAGAGCCCCAGAGATTCACACAGTACGTACACACGTGCACAGACTCGCACAGAGCCCCAGAGATTCACACAGTACGTACACACGTGCACAGACTCGCACAGAGCCTCAGAGATTCACACAGTACGTACACACGTGCACAGACTCGCACAGAGCCCCAGAGAATCACACAGTACGTACACACGTGCACAGACTCGCACAGAGCCCCAGAGATTCACACAGTACGTACACACGTGCATAGACTCGCACAGAGCCCCAGAGATTCACACAGTACGTACACACGTGCACAGACTCGCACAGAGCCCCAGAGATTCACACAGTACGTACACACGTGCACAGACTCGCACAGAGCCCCAGAGATTCACACAGTACGTACACACGTGCACAGACTCGCACAGAGCCCCAGAGAATCACACAGTACGTACACACGTGCACAGACTCGCACAGAGCCCCAGAGATTCACACAGTACGTACACACGTGCATAGACTAGCACAGAGCCTCAGAGATTCACACAGTACGTACACACGTGCACAGACTCGCACAGAGCCCCAGAGAATCACACAGTACGTACACACGTGCAAAGACTCGCACAGAGCCCCAGAGATTCACACAGTACGTACACACGTGCATAGACTCGCACAGAGCCCCAGAGAATCACACAGTACGTACACACGTGCACAGACTCGCACTAGAGCCCCAGAGATTCACACAGTACGTACACACGTGCACAGACTCGCACAGAGCCCCAGAGAATCACACAGTACGTACACACGTGCACAGACTCGCACAGAGCCCCAGAGATTCACACAGTACGTACACACGTGCACAGACTCGCACAGAGCCCCAGAGAATCACACAGTACGTACACACGTGCATAGACTCGCACAGAGCCCCAGAGAATCACACAGTACGTACACACGTGCAAAGACTCGCACAGAGCCCCAGAGATTCACACAGTACGTACACACGTGCACAGACTCGCACAGAGCCCCAGAGAATCACACAGTACGTACACACGTGCATAGACTAGCACAGAGCCTCAGAGATTCACACAGTACGTACACACGTGCACAGACTCGCACAGAGCCCCAGAGAATCACACAGTACGTACACACGTGCAAAGACTCGCACAGAGCCCCAGAGATTCACACAGTACGTACACACGTGCACAGACTCGCACAGAGCCCCAGAGATTCACACAGTACGTACACACGTGCATAGACTAGCACAGAGCCCCAGAGATTCACACAGTACGTACACACGTGCACAGACTTGCACAGAGCCTCAGAGATTCACACAGTACGTACACACGTGCACAGACTCGCACAGAGCCCCAGAGAATCACACAGTACGTACACACGTGCATAGACTCGCACAGAGCCCCAGAGATTCACACAGTACGTACACACGTGCATAGACTCGCACAGAGCCCCAGAGATTCACACAGTACGTACACACGTGCACAGACTCGCACAGAGCCCCAGAGATTCACACAGTACGTACACACGTGCATAGACTCGCACAGAGCCCTAGAGAATCACACAGTACGTACACACGTGCACAGACTCGCACAGAGCCCCAGAGATTCACACAGTACGTACACACGTGCACAGACTCGTACAGAGCCCCAGAGATTCACACAGTACGTACACACGTGCATAGACTCGCACAGAGCCCTAGAGAATCACACAGTACGTACACACGTGCATAGACTCGTACAGAGCCCCAGAGAATCACACAGTACGTACACACGTGCATAGACTCGCACAGAGCCCCAGAGATTCACACAGTACGTACACACGTGCATAGACTCGCACAGAGCCCCAGAGAATCACACAGTACGTACACACGTGCATAGACTCGTACAGAGCCCCAGAGAATCACACAGTACGTACACACGTGCATAGACTCGCACAGAGCCCCAGAGATTCACACAGTACGTACACACGTGCATAGACTCGCACAGAGCCCTAGAGAATCACACAGTACGTACACACGTGCATAGACTCGCACAGAGCCCCAGAGATTCACACAGTACGTACACACGTGCATAGACTCGCACAGAGCCCTAGAGAATCACACAGTACGTACACACGTGCATAGACTCGTACAGAGCCCCAGAGAATCACACAGTACGTACACACGTGCATAGACTCGCACAGAGCCCCAGAGATTCACACAGTACGTACACACGTGCACAGACTCGCACAGAGCCCCAGAGAATCACACAGTACGTACACACGTGCACAGACTCGCACAGAGCCCCAGAGAATCACACAGTACGTACACACGTGCATAGACTCGCACAGAGCCCCAGAGATTCACACAGTACGTACACACGTGCACAGACTCGCACAGAGCCCCAGAGATTCACACAGTACGTACACACGTGCACAGACTCGCACAGAGCCTCAGAGATTCACACAGTACGTACACACGTGCACAGACTCGCACAGAGCCCCAGAGAATCACACAGTACGTACACACGTGCATAGACTCGCACAGAGCCCCAGAGATTCACACAGTACGTACACACGTGCACAGACTCGCACAGAGCCCCAGAGATTCACACAGTACGTACACACGTGCATAGACTCGCACAGAGCCCTAGAGAATCACACAGTACGTACACACGTGCATAGACTCGTACAGAGCCCCAGAGAATCACACAGTACGTACACACGTGCATAGACTCGCACAGAGCCCCAGAGATTCACACAGTACGTACACACGTGCATAGACTCGCACAGAGCCCTAGAGAATCACACAGTACGTACACACGTGCATAGACTCGTACAGAGCCCCAGAGAATCACACAGTACGTACACACGTGCATAGACTCGCACAGAGCCCCAGAGAATCACACAGTATGTACACACGTGCATAGACTAGCACAGAGCCCCAGAGAATCACACAGTACGTACACACGTGCATAGACTCGCACAGAGCCCCAGAGATTCACACAGTACGTACACACGTGCATAGACTCGCACAGAGCCCTAGAGAATCACACAGTACGTACACACGTGCATAGACTCGTACAGAGCCCCAGAGAATCACACAGTACGTACACACGTGCATAGACTCGCACAGAGCCCCAGAGATTCACACAGTACGTACACACGTGCACAGACTCGCACAGAGCCCTAGAGATTCACACAGTACGTACACACGTGCATAGACTCGCACAGAGCCCCAGAGAATCACACAGTACGTACACACGTGCATAGACTAGCACAGAGCCCCAGAGAATCACACAGTACGTACACACGTGCATAGACTCGCACAGAGCCCCAGAGATTCACACAGTACGTACACACGTGCATAGACTCGCACAGAGCCCTAGAGAATCACACAGTACGTACACACGTGCATAGACTCGTACAGAGCCCCAGAGAATCACACAGTACGTACACACGTGCATAGACTCGCACAGAGCCCCAGAGATTCACACAGTACGTACACACGTGCACAGACTCGCACAGAGCCCCAGAGATTCACACAGTACATACACACGTGCACGGACTCGCACAGAGCCCCAGAGAATCACACAGTACGTACACACGTGCACGGACTCGCACAGAGCCCCAGAGATTCACACAGCACGTACACACGTGCACAGACTAGCACAGAGCCCCAGAGATTCACACAGTACGTACACACGTACATAGACTCGCACAGAGCCCCAGAGAATCACACAGGGCTGTTCCGATAAGCAGGGTCGGCTACGTACGTACGGTGCGAAAGAAGGTCACACCTTACGTACACACGTGCAAAGACTCGCACAGAGCCCCATACTCGTTGATTCTTTCGGTAAAGTCACGTGGGTATAAAATAAAATAGATCACGACGTTTCGGGCGCAACACAAGCGTCCATCATCAGGTGTGAAAGCGTGGCCTGCTGCTGATGCAGACTGTCTTAAAAGGTTTGAAATGGGTGTAGCCCATGGGTCAAAAAGAACTGGCTGGGTCTAGTGATGTTAAAGTGAGAAATTGGCATGTAACTGGGCACAGCAGTAGCTATGTTAACGTGAGAGATTAGCATGATGTTAAAGTGAGGAATTGGCATGTAACTGGGCACAGCAGTAGCTATGATAATGTGAGAGATTAGCATGATGTTAAAGTGAGAAATTGGCATGTAACTGGGTACAGCAGTAGCTATGTTAATGTGAGAGATTAGCATGATGTTAAAGTGAGAAATTAGCATGTAACTGGGTACGGCAGTAGCTATGTTAATGTGAGAGATTAGCATGATGTTAATGTGAGAGATTAGTATGTAACTGGGTACGGAAGTGGCTATGGTAATGTGAGAGATTAGCATGATGTTAAAGTGAGAAATTAGCATGTAACTGGGCACGGCAGTAGCTATGTTAATGTGAGAGATTAGCATGATGTTAAAGTGAGAAATTGGCATATAACTGGGTACGGAAGTGGCTATGATAATGTGAGAGATTAGCATGATGTTAAAGTGAGAAATTAGCATGTAACTGGGTACGGCAGTAGCTATGTTAATGTGAGAGATTAGCATGATGTTAAAGTGAGAAATTAGCATGTAACTGGGTACGGCAGTAGCTATGTTAATGTGAGAGATTAGCATGATGTTTAAGTGAGAAATTAGCATGTAACTGGGCACAGCAGTAGCTATGTTAATGTGAGAGATTAGCATGATGTTAAAGTGAGAAATTGGCATATAACTGGGTACGGAAGTAGCTATGGTAATGTGAGAGATTAGCATGATGTTAAAGTGAGAAATTGGCA